TACAGAGGTCTTGCCTTTGTTTCAGAGTGCTGTGATTAAAGGTGTGTGCTACTACACCCAGCATAATATTTATTAATTGTTACCTGAAATTTGTACTCCATTACTCACATGTTCTTTGGTGTACATTTTTTCATTTTTATTTATTAATTTATTTATCTGTTTACATTTATTTAGTGTGTGTGTGTGTGTGTGTGTGTGTGTGTGTGTATGCATGCAAGTGTGTGTCCCTCTACACACTATTGTGGAGGCCAGAGGACAACTTGTGGGGGTTGGTTCCCCTACCATTTGGGTTAATGAGGATAGAATTCAGGTCAACATACTGGCAACAAGCTCTTTTATCCTTTGTGCTATCTTGCAGGCTCTAATTTGTTTCTATATTTATTCTATGTTTTTGTGGGGTTTTTTTCTGGTAGCAGTGCTATTACTGCAATTTGTTGCTTTCTGTTCACTTAGTAGTGATAGAGATTGAGGCTGCAGATGAAGGCTGCTGACTGAAAATGTAAAATGAGAAGGCTAGCCATCCTTACACCTGTACAAGTGGCAACTCTGCACAACATGTTCACTCCGATAACCTGCTTCAGTAACTGAATTGTCATATATGTGACTGGGATAAGTTAGAGGCCTTAGTGAGGAACCTACTGCTCATATTTTGCTAAATGGACCTGGTGTGCCTGTCAGATTGCCAATTAACTATTCATGCATATAGATTAGCACCAGTGTCAGCTTTGGTTAGGGTAGCTGGCTTTTGCAGTGAGTGTTGGCTACTGTAGGACTCATGACTAGTTAAAGTGCTAAAATGTGAATGTGTTGAGCATGGTGGTGAGCCAGGAAGATCTCCTGTGAGTTCTGAGGCCATGCTGGTCTACATAATGAGTTCCATTACAGGCAGGACTATATAGAGAGATTGTGTCTCAAGAAAAAAGAAAAGGAAATAAAGGGGAAAAATGAGTGAATGGAATAATCCACCCAGACTGAGAACATTTCATTTAATATAAGGAAAAATTCAGGGTGTTCAGTCTTTTTAAAACAGTTATTAATTTTATAGTGAGCAGAAAAGCAAGTAAAAGAAATCAAGGAATACAAGTTAGGAAAGAAATAGGTAATAACTCAGTTTTCAGGTAACATAACCCTATACTTCAGTGTCCATAAAGACTCTTAAACATGATCCAAAATAACAGGTTATACAATCAACATAGTAAATCAGTATCTTCTCCCTCCTTTCCTTCCTACCTCCTTACCTCCCTCCTTTTTTCTGCTAAGAATAAGATACAGGGTCATACATATACCAACCAAGTGTTGTAACTCTGAATTAAAGTTTCAACCTGTACAGTAATTTTTTATATAGCCTAGGATGACCTCAACTTCACTATGTAGTTGAAGATCACCATGAATTTCTGAAAGGGGTGTCACCTTACCTAGTTTTTATGTAATGCTAGAGATTGAAACCAGGATTTTTTTTATGTGCTCTGCAAATACTCTGACAGCTGAACTTCATCCTTACCTTCCAATATCTTGTCTACATTAATGAAAAATGAGTATGGTGATAAGGAAATGAAGAAAACAATATAATTTAAAATTGCCTTTAAAAAAATCTATGCTACCCAGCAATACTATTTGGAGTACTAAATAGCGTGTGCAGTTAAAACTGTAACATAGTGATGAAATTGAGGCGTTAGCAAGATGGCTCAGTGGATAAAGGGGCTTGAGTTCAATCTGTGAGACCAGTATGGTTAAAGGAGAGAACAAATACCTATGTATTTGTCCTCTGACATTCACACATATTGTGTGGCATGTGTGCACTCTCACATACAGACAAGTAATTGAATGTAATTTTTAAAAGGGAGATTGAGGAAGACATTAGAGTAATTAAAGACTTCATGTGTTTCTATTAATGCAATTAGTATACTCAAAATGTCTTTAAATACCTTTTCAGTTTGTTATTATTCTTGTGTGTATGGGCATGCTGTGTTCGATAGGGGCATATGTATTATAGCATGTTTGTGAAGGTCAAAGAACAACTATTATTTTCTTCCACCTTTATGTAGGTTTTAAGGATTGAATTCACATTTTACATCAAGCATCTTTTCCAGATGGGATATCTAGCTGCCTGCTAAAATATCCTTTCAATGAAAGCTATCTATACATTCAAATGCACTCCCAGGAAATGATAACAAATCCTTTAGAAAACAAGAGAATCAACATGTAATTATCATACAGAAGAGATATTCTCAACCAGCCAGTGAAATTCTTTAAGAAAGGTATGGTGTTGTATCTATCACTATACCTGCTTTCAAATAATGCTATAAGAGTTATGTTAGTAAAAAGAGCAAGCTGTTGGCAGAAACCACTAGCCTAGACGCTGTAGTGAACTTGCACAATGATTCAAAAGTATAATCACAAAACTATAGCCACATTTTTTCTCAAATTACCAAAAATATTTGTTTCAATAAAAGTACTTTAAAAGATAATTCTATAAAAATTAAATCTCCACACATAAAAGACTGAACCTAGACAGTTGTTTCTTCCTTTGTACCTAAGGAACAGAGACCTTAACAGAAGGCCTTTAATGGAGGAATTCATGTGAACACAATTGAATAATATATGTATAGACTAGAATGTAAACAGCTGTAGAATATGAATCTAGTTGGACATGGTGATTCATGTCTAAAACCCCCAAGTGAGAGGAGTTCAAGGATATCCATATAGTAGTTCTAGAGCAGAATATGGTAGATGAGAAAGCAGCTAAAATGATAAAAAATGAATGCTAACTTCAAAATGTAAAATTTCTATCCAGCAATAACCAGAATGGAGAAGTATCCCATGGAAACAAATACCTTTGCCAGGGATTTATTCATTATGGGATTAATATTGAGCATATATAAAGAACCCATATACACAGATGGTGATAACATAGAATTATCCAGCCATTATGGAGTACTTTTCAAATTTGAAAAATAAAAGTGCTGTATGATGCAGGTATCATATCTCTGGCTGTATGCATGATGGGACTAAAGATACTGTGGCTGCCCCTCAAGTCCCATGCTCATAGTAACCAAGATATGATATCATCATCCATTGTGCTCATCATTAGATTCATCATAAAAGATGAGACACATTTCAGATGTATTAATCATCTGTGTAAAGAATCAGAAATCAGATGGGCTGGCATGGTGGTGCACACCTTTAACCCCATATTCAGTTTATTTGCAAGGTAAAGTAAATTTTTTTATTCTTCATAAAGAACAAAATATATGTACCACTATCAAAAGTCAATATTATTTTATATTTTTTATCAGGATAAGGAGACAGACACAAGAAGATTTCAGAGTTATTCATGGATAAAGATATTTTTAATGTCATTTTAGGTGTTCATAAAGTGACTGCACCAATTGAGAACCACCAGAAATATCACAAGGGACTTTTGTGGCAAGTTGAAATCACCAACAGCCAGACATTAAATGAAGAAATTGTTGAAGTAAGTAAAATATTTAACATGAGCTTTTAACATATTTCAAGTGACAACATAAAGATTAGAAATTAGGAATGTTTCTTCACGAACTTATCCCAGATCAGTGAGATGGCTTGGTTTGTAAAGGGATTTGCCACCAACCTAACCATCTGAGTTTAATCCCCATGTCCCATGTGGTGGATGGTAAAGAAAAACCCCAAAACTTGTCCTTTGATATCCATATGTTTGTATATGGCATATATGAGTACACACACAAATATAGTTTGAAAAATGAAAGAAAATTAACTCAGCCCTGGGGAGATTATTTAGTCAGTAAAAATGCTTGATGTAGAAAATGTGAACTTGAGTTTGGATCCTTAGCAGACGTAAATGCAGACAGCTATGGTGATATGTATATCTAACTAGTGTTACGAGGATGGAGAAATTAGAGTCACTGGGGTTTCCTGGTTTATGATTCCATACAAACAAGGAAACTTTGGGTCCAGTGAGAGACCTTTTCCAAACAAAAATAAAAATATGGTGAATAGTGATTTATGAAGACACTGAAGAGCAACCTCTAGTACATAGACACACATAAACTTGTGTATACACATTTGTTACCTCCTATATACTTACAAAGGAACTCAAAGCTGAGTGTCTTTCTCTTTTGGGTGATTGTTGCCAGCTGGAAAAGAACACAATTTTAATGATACTCTATCAAAACTGTCAGTGGTGTTATCAATATATTTGATCAGTGATATTGTTCAAGGAGATATTATTTACATATGAACTTTCATATTAAACATCTCTGATAAACTCAGTAAATACTAGAAATCTTTATATATGACATTTATCACTGTAACACAAGAAAGATTCCAAACTAATATTAGAAAGCATGTTGTAGGGAAAGGCCCTGTGGCTATATGAAATATGACTAATTCCTGTCTTAAGGCAGAACTGAATGTTGTAAGGAGTACGGTTTTTTTGCCTGCCGCCGCCCGGTCTTGTCCCGCCGCCACACCAGCCCCAAATAACACACAGAGACTCTATATTTGATACAATGCTGTTGGCCCGGTTACTTGTTTCTTATCGGCTAACTCTGCCTTAATTATTAACCCATTTCTACTGATCTATGTATTTCTCTTACCGGGGAGCCGGCGGCATACTGTTTTCTCCAGACTCTCCATTTTGACTCCTCCTTACTACTTCCTATTTCCTCCTTGTCTCCTAGTCCCTCCTATCTTCCTTTCCTATTGGCCAACAGTGCTTTATTATTAACCAGTATGAGAAACATATACAGAATGACATCTCCCATCAGAATGTGGCACAGAAATTCCACCAAGGGACAACATCATATGAAGGGAAAGGATATGTGAAGATGTTTTGCCAGCAGTCACAGAACACAGGGGATCAGAGGACACATGCACGTAAGAAACATTTCAGTTATAACTCTCTTCTCAACAACTGTCAGAGATTTAAAGAGGAAACACCCTGTACCCACAGACAGTGCAGGAATACATTCTCTTGGAAGTCACACCTCACTGAACATCAGAGAAGTCGTATAGGTGAGAAGCCATATGAAAGTTCAGGATGTGGGAAAGCTTCCCACATTAAGTCTCAGCATCAGATCACTCATACAGAGGAGAAGCCCTACAATCAAGTGTTTGGAATGTGGGAAATATTTCTACTACAAATCACAGATCACTGAGCATCAGAGAAGTCATACAGGTGAGAAGCCTTATGGGTGTACAGAATGTGAAAAATCAGCTATAAGTCACATCTGACTGTACATCAGAGAAGTCAAACAGGTGAGAAGCCACATGAATGTACAGAATGTAGGAAAGTTTTTTTACTATAAGTCACAACTCAGTCGACACCAGAGAAGTCATACAGGGGAGAAGCCTTATGAATGTATTAAATGTGGAAAATCTTTCTACTGTAACACACATCTTTCTCTACACCAGAGGATTTATGTAAGTGAGAAACCTTATAAGTGTACAGAATGTGGGAAAGCTTTCTCTTTCAGTGCGTGCCTCACTCATCATCAAAGGACTCATACAAATGAGAAACCATATGAATACACACAATGCCCCCAAAGCCTTCTACTTTAAGAAACAACTTACTCATCATCTGAAAACACATACTGCTGAGAGGTGCTTTGAATGTAAGCATTGTGGAAAAGCATTCTACTGGAGGTCTAACCTTATTTTGCATCAGAAAACTCATACTGGTGAGAAACCTTATGAATGTAAGCAATGTGGAAAAGCATTTTACTGCAAGTCCCACCTCACTGTACATCAGAGAACTCATATAAGTGACAACCTCTATCAATGTACAGAATTTAGGAAAGCATTCTACTCTCAGACACAGCTTACTGTACATCAGAAAACTCACACTGATGAGAAGCCCTATGAATGTAAGCAATGTGGGAAAGCATTCTACAGCAAATCTGGGCTTACTACACATCAGAAAACTCATACAGGCGAGAAGCCCTATCAAGAGTGGGGAAAAGAATTCTATAACAACTATTTTCTCATTGAGCATCATCGAGTTCATACAGGTGAGAAGCCATATCAATGTACAGAATGCAAGAAAGCATTCTATTGCAAGAAGTATCTTTCTCTACATCAGAAAACTCATGCAAGTGAGAAGTCATTTCACTGTGCAGAATGTGGGAAAGTTTTTTCCTGGATGTCACACCTCACTCAACATCAGAGAATTCATACAGGTGAGAAACCCTATACCTGTGAACAGTGTAGGAAAACATACTACTTCAAGAAACAACTCACTCGACATGAAAGAACTCATACACGTGAGAAATCACTAGATGTAAATAATGCAGGCCATTTCTCAGCAGATACAACTTCTCCGTGTATGAAAGAACTCAAAGGAGAAATGCTGTAACTATCCAATGCAGAAATTTTTCTTCCTCTTGTCACACCTCATTCAAAGTCAGATGAGAAAACCTGAGAGTGGAAAGAATCTATGAAATCTTACTAAAGTATGTACTCAGAAAGCTTGCAAGTAAGAATCTGATTAGTGTAAAAAACTATGGGAAATTTCTAGTGGAATTCCGTTGTTATTCTACCAGTGAACACATACCACAATGAGACATATGGCTAAAGGCATTCTACCACAGTGCTCTCTGTAAAAGAAGCCATACATGTGAATGTCTCTTAAGAAGTTAAAAAATATAGAAAAGCTGTGTCATTCTTCAATTCATTTGAATATATTATAGGTGATTAATACCTAATGTAAGGAACAGAGGAAAGCTTTCTAACATTAAAACTGCATGAATTCACACCTGAACACTTATGCAGGTGGGGAAATTAATAAAATGAAATAGAAATCAGGCCTCTACATTAGAAACATCATATGTTATATGCCAGGTACAGCAAAAAGTGTAGTGTTTTCAATTGTAGATCTTCATCTTGCAGGTTTATTGAGACACCTTAGCAACATATGTTAACATTCCATATGTTCAAAGCAGTAAAGCCTTGAAGCACCCTATGTGATTAAAACACTTAAGAATATGAAGCATGCCAAAACTTTTTAATTGAACTTGAAATTCATCTACCATTACAAACACAACAGAGATGATTTAAACAGAGGAATCCAATTTGAAAACATGCCAGTAGTCCAACTAAGTTTATTACAAAGATTGACCAACAAATCATAGATGTAAGAATTCTAGAAAAGGCATTCAGTCATGCTCCCAATGTACCAGCCATTGGATAACTTAGGAAAGTGAGAGCACATTTGAAGTTTAAAAGTTAATTTGTCTTAATTGTGGCTCAGTGGCAATATGCATATGTTTTTGTACTGTATTTCTACAATTAGAAGTTTTTATGGGTTATCTTGATTTAGAATGTTTAGATTCATGGGGCATTTGTAAATCAGTTAAAATGTCTACAAGTTTTAATGTCTCATCAGACATGAACATTTTTAATATGTCACACTTTTATAATTATTTGTTTAGTTTGGAGACAAAATCTTGATTTATATCTTGAGTGTTCTCTGGCTTCTGCATCTGCACATGGAAACAGAACATGTACACACAATAGAAAAATACCAAATGTTTTATACATTAGGAATTGTATAAAATATTGTATAAAGTTGTATAAAAATTGTATAAAAGTATCAGCATGTGACATTATCATGTTAATTTTCAAGTGGAATTTTGCTTAAGTATGCCATCAAAAATTAAAATGTTCAACTATAACCCAATAAAGAAACAAAATAATAATGCTCCTTGCCAATATCCATTAGACAACCTTTTTGTTTTTTAGGTTTTTTGTTCTTTAGTGTAATGCTTTAGATCAAAACCACATAGTGACTATATCCCCAAATTGTTAAATTACTCAATATTTTGAAGAAGATAAACAAAACATATAAAGCTTTTAGGAATAAATAACACATTTTAATCAGGATAAAATATGCACAGTAGATAACATCATAAAAATGAGAGGCACAACATCAATGAAATAACTTTTAAGTAAAATGGGGAAAAAATGAGAGTTTTGTGGTTAGCATTGTATCTTTAAAGATTTAAGTAGAGGACACAATGCAATTCAAGTTATATATGATTTTTCACAAAAAATAAAATTGGAAATATGAGATGCTGATAAGAATCTTTTATTACATATATGTATTGTATATGTATATGAGTCCATACTCCACTCTCTCTCTGTGTGTGTGTGTGTGTGTGTGTGTAGGTTTGAGGTTTCCTTTGAACCTCCAAATTAGGAATAAGTATTTTCACAGATGTAATTAAGCTAATGACCAGGATGATGTCCTACTGGATTTTAGAGATGAACCCTAAATCAAATCATACTGTTCTCATTAAGACAGGCGAAGTGATATGAAGAATGCCTGTGTTCTTAGCTACTCTGTTGGCCAAGCCAGAAGGACAGTCTCGATAACAGGGTGAGGATAGGCCAACATGAATGATTGGGATGCTGTCTCACAAGAGGAAGTACAAGAAATGGGCTGAGAAAAGTAGAACACGGTAATCTAAACAATTAGGAGGTGTAACAATAAGGTCAAAATTTAAGATCATCCTCCAGTATAGAGTGAGGTCCATGCAACCATGATCTAGATGAGACCCTATCTTAAAAGAATTCTAAACCCAATCAAGTAAGGTTTTTTGGTTTGGTTTTGGTTTTGGTTTTATATGATTACCCATCCCCATGAATATTTGGAACATTATTGTAACAGGTGTCCTGGAAAAAAGGTCAAAATAATGGCAGTGGATATATAACTGAAGATAATGACTTTCTTCTCCCAGAATATTTTTTTCTCAGTAGGTCACATCACTGGGACAGAGTATCAAGGCCATCACTGAATTCTAGGATAAATGTTCTTTTGCTACAGCTATTGCCTATGAAACACAAACATGAGAGTCAGTGCCCACGTGGAGTTTATTGATAGAGGGGAGAGAAGGGGGTAGCTGGTGGCCAACCAAAAGCAGGAGGGGGGGTGAGAAGCAAGGCAAGAGAAGAGAGGGGAGCAAAAGAGCAAGAGAGAGAGGGGAGAAAGAGGAAAGAGAGAGGATGGTGTGCTTGGCATGCTTGCTTTAAAAGGGAAACTTGTACATGTGTAACTGAGTCCCCTGCACAGCCAGGTAATGGCAACCAGGTAAGTCGTGATGTAGAGATGACAAGGCCATGAGCATCCGGCCCATCATCAGGGGGCGGGGGTCAGCAAACTGCTGGGTTCCAAAAATAAATAAGGATCACCCTTCACATTAACTCTGGCTTGGGTCTGTCTTAAAGCTTGCTCACAGTACAAAGTAACCACTGTAAACTTTTAAGTCCTGATCATGTGTCCAATCTACAAGATATGTTACCATGGCATTAATTACCTGGCAAACTCAAAAGCTCAAGTCTCCTGCTCCAGTGAGCTTGTTAGAGATCTCTGCTTTCTCTAACAAAACCCAAGAATATTTTCTTCCATTCTAAATTCTGTAACACTTTCCCATGTTCCTTTTTCCTATCTTGTTGGTGTACTATATAAGGTACCCTATTTCAGAAGTCCACATGGACCTCTTCTCCAGAAGACCTAAGACTATTCCTGGACTAGGATACATATTTACTGAGTTAATTACCACTCAATAGCTGCAGTCAGTGAAAACATTGTTGGGTTCCTATACAGAACTTGGGGTTTCTTTTCATCCTGATCATTGTTATCACAGTCATTACCTGCCTTCCAAAAATTAAACTACAGTGCCACATTATTTTATTATTTTTATTTGGAAACAATCATTTTACATATCAATTCCCCTGTTCCCTCTCCCATTCTCCCATGCCTCCTACCAAGCCCACCATGGGCTTCCCAAGGATAGTGAGGCCTTCCATGGGGGATCATCAATGTCTGTCGCATCATTTAGGGGAGGGCCTAGCCCCTCATTGTATCTGGGCTGAAATAGTAACCCACCATAGAGAATGAACTCCTAAAGTCCATTTGTGCACTAGGAATAAATATTGATTCCACTTTAGAGATCTCTTAGACTTCCCAGGCCTCCTGACTGGCACCCACATTCAGAGGGCTTGGTTTGGTCCAATGCTTGTTCCCCAGCTTTACAACTAGGGTCCCTGTGTTCTCACTGAGTCAGGTCATTTGTTTGTTTGTTTGTTTTTTGTTTGTTTGTTTGTTTGTTCATTTGTTTTTTCAAAGAAACAAGGCCAATTTATTTTACAATGACACAAGATAGTAAATGTGGAAATAGCAGGCAGGTCATAACGTCCCCTCTGGCTGGGCTCCTCTGGCCCTGGTCTCTGTGCAGGACACGGGAACTGTCAGAAGTCAGGTGTGAAGGAGCACAGTACAAGAGGAAAGCTGCAGATCCCAGCTTCCACAAATGGCTTCAGTGACCCCACACACAACAACTTTATTTCAGTAAAAGTGTCCTTTTCATGCCAGCCCTTCCTGACAACTGGGAAGCAGCTGTGGGGAAAAGCCATTACAACAGCACTCAATGCTTGTCACTCTCAGTCTTCTGGCCATAGACGGTTTTCTGGAGAAGGCACAGCATGACCTCTGTCCCTGTCTTATTGTTTTCTCCAATGAGTAGATCCAACGTACCTCCCACCTTCACCATTCTGCTCTTCTTCCATATTTTTTTTTTCCCCGTTCAGGCTGAGTTCACCTTTGTAGAATGCATCTTCTACTTTGTTTCTCCCAATATCAAAGCCCGTCTTCAGGATAACATCATACTGGAAGGACTCTACCGCCATCTCCAGGTCTATGTCCTTGACCACACCCGGGTCACCCTCAAGCTCTTCTTCCTGGTCACCCCTCATAGGGCGGTGGGTCTCCTTATTGGAGTCCTCTTCATCTGCATCTTTTTGCAGTCTTTATTTTTTTATTTTTTATTTTTTGAGCTGATACTGCTTTTGAGTCGTATGGAAAAAAATACATTTTGGAGATACTAAAAGCCCTAGGAGTCCCAGAGGGAAAATGTTACAGAAAAGTGTTTTATGATTTGATGCTTTAACTTGGTACTAGAAAAATATAAGTATCGATTCCAGGAAGCACAGAAATTGTGTGGAGATGTCCCTTGAAGCATGTGTCAGAGTCCTATCCAGGAGCCAGGCTTTCTTAGAGCACCAGCAAGCAGTCTGCCTCCAGATACAGCCATGCTCCACACGCCACTTATTAGCTATTCACTCACTCACGGTGTTCACTGCCCAGCAGACAAACATCCCAAACAATGAAAGTCTGAGCAGTTGGCTGGTCGCTCCCCAGACCATGCTGACCGCAGGCACTGTCATCTGTTTCTGTAGGTTTCTCCAGCATGGTCTTGACTCCTTTGCTCATCACTCCTCCCTCTCTACAACTGGATTTCAGAAGTATGGCTAAGTGCTTAGCTGTAGGTGCCTGCTTCTGCTTCTGCTTCAGTCAGCTAATGGATGAAGGTTATAGGATAGCAATTAACATA